AAAAAAAAAAAAAAAAAACAAAAGGGGCAAAATCTAACGTGGGAAGCACAACACAGACTGAGCAAAGCAAAACAGGCAGAAGGAGTATCCACCAAGAGAGGTCAACTGGACCGAAAAAAGTTGAGTACCTTTTCCCCACAAAACAATCACACTTGAGAAAAAGAAGCTAAAAAAGAGCAGCAACCTAGTGGCTAGAATTTCTGACATACTAGCCCTCGAAGTTAACTGGAAGTTAATTGTACAGCTATGCTATGTGTCAGTTGTCGATGTCGGCTTCAATGACCCGATAAGAAAACTGCTGGTGCGCGAAAAAGACCCCATGAGGAGAGCTAAATTTGAAATTTTTTGGTCGTATATAAGTAGTGAACATTCCCCTAAAGTTTCAGCTTTCTAGCTTTTCTCGTTACCGAGTTAGTAATTATCGCGTCAAAATTTTCACTTGTTCGTACACGAAACGTAGACGTGCATGACAGTTGATGTGTTGTTCGTGGAGTCGTATCTGGCGAGGGAACACATCAGCAAAATTTCAGTTTCAAAGCCTGTGTGGTTGCTGAATGCAGACACTGGGAAAGACGAACACATACACACAAACATACATACACACATACACACACACACACACAGAGAGGGTCGTCGAAATATGCAATTTTGCTGCCTGTTGCAGCGCCACACGGCAAAAAACGCATAACTAAATGAAATGATTAATCCCAAATGATCTCGGTTTAATTCACTACGACGTTTACAACTTCAAGGATACCGAGAGACGTATCGAGCACAGCTATGCCTGTGGTAAAACGTTCTTTCACTTTCAACCCAGGCTGCATTTAATGAAAAAAAAAAAACCATTCAAATGAGTACTTTGGCTTGCGTAAAGCATTGACCCATGCGAGCCATCATTTTTGGTATGTTACAGCGATCGAACTTGCCAAGCTGGTCACGTATTTTCTGCGCCTGCCCTCCATCACCATCATCATAAAAATAGCAACCGTTGTCACGCATTTGTGAATTTGATGAACCGAGATAGACAAAATGTCGGTCTGAAAAAAAGAGGCCTATAAAATAAGCTACAAAAATACATCTGACTAAGACCTAAAGCACACAGCGTCACATTCCAAGATAGTTTAAAAAAACACGGCAGAATTTACTGATCACTGACAACAATCCATCTCTTCGCTTAACCACCACAGTATATATCGAAGTGATGAGGAAAACAAAAGAACGGAGCCGCTTCCGCCCTCGTCATAAAAATAGCGTAGCACGCGCTGTCTGGTATTTGAAAAATTGTGCGCAGTTGGTAAGATACACGAAAATTTTAACGTAGTCTAACGTGAATTTGTGCGATAATATCAAACTACATGTAGCTCCCGACAGTAACTAATGTGACTCAGCTTCGTCGTCCCAGAGCCAGAAACAACACTCCCTTATCCATACACCTCAGTTTTCATCGAAATGGCGCCTCTTATTAATTCTCAGCCGCACTTCTTAAAAAGTTGCATTTTTTACAACCCAGGCTTAACCGCTTGCTGACTCATCTGACATTCTCCATCTACTTTTTAAACTAGTTCGCTTAATCCTACATAAATGTACTTGGAATATGTACTGCACTAACCAAATTTTATGAGCTTTTTGCCTGTCACGCCTCTTTGGCCAAATTAGGCACCCCTCGATTCAATTTTCCACATTTTCTCCAAACCGACTATTTTGGTATTTTCTCAGCAAATACTGGGCAAGGACAGTGGCAGATACCATAAATGCACCACCCTAATAACGACAGAAGCAGGTCTCCAGAGGTAGAAAAGGAGCAGTTTTTTTCGTACCTGGCTGCATGGTATCTATTCAGGCTACTCTGTCTGATTCCAGTCCACCACATCTTTAAACCGAAGGACCAAAAACAAACACTTGCCTCCAATATAAATGCCTCTGGTAAGCGTATTAAATACCGTCGACTGTATCAGATGTGGACCAACAGTATTGACCCTAAGCGGTGTCCCATCGTCATCACGAAACAGTACGCGCAGAGCGCCATTTCCGTCTTTGTCAAATGTTCGAAGAACTCTGTTGCCCATCAGTAATTCCGGCGCGATAAGCAGCAAACGAGTTGGAGTTATAATAACCTCAAATTTATTAAAAGTTGTATTATCAAAGTAGTTATCGTAGAGGAGTAGAACGGAGAACACGGAACAATACAAAAGTAGTGGCAAGTGCCAGAGGGTCGACGTGATCACGTGTTCTCGTGCCATATAAGTACGAAAAAAAAGAACGAAGTTAAAGGTGGAAAATAAGACAGTTAAACGCGATGTGGATTCAAAAATCTGGATATATTGCCGGGAGAAATTTCAACTAGCACAATCAGAATCAAAAATGAAAAATGGATATATTGCCGGGAGAAATGTCAACTAAGTGAACAAATCTCAAAGAGATGCTGACCAGGCGTGGCCAAGCGGCGACTACACACAGCAGATGGACGCAGACAACTAGGACAAGAGCCCTGGCACACTTCAGCCTGGCAGGCTACAGCACCTGAGTAACATCCCGAGCTCTATCACTGGACGCCGGAACAAATGAACAAGCTACCTTGTTGCAAAAAAGTAAAAACAATTAATATTTTTGTTAAAGTTAACCTTTCGCACTCGTACATAACCATCCCGAACACCCTGGTTAAAATTGTGGTGAAGCTTCTGCTCCAATATACTGTCCTCTATTTTCTGAAATGCAGTGTACAAGCAGGGTGTGTGTTTTGCCTCATCGACTGAATTGATAAGTCGTTCCAATACTTCTATAGTCAACTGAAAATTTTTGATCAAATCAGCTGGAAAAGGTTTCGTTTCAGTACAAAAATCCGTAATGAGTGGACGTTCCGAGCCGAATTTTTCCGGCAGCACAGACTCCCATAAAAGATGTTCATAAATGTTTGAAGCTGAGCATCTGTAAATAGAAAACACTCAGTTCATTGAAATTTGAACGTATGGACAGTAGGCACTAAATTTGCACATAAGATCGGACGAAGTATCAACAAACTGAACAAACTTTAGTTATTTCAGCATCAGTGAACTGTAAAACGAACCAATCAGTCCTAACCAGTGAGAAGTGATATTTACGCGGCTACGGGGAAAACGCGCCTTACAAAGCGGAATGGGGAAAAACATGTAATGAATAAACTAGCACGCCCTTTTTAGCTGTTTACACCGACAAGTAAGTCTTCTCGATTAACAAAAACGAGGGAGCTATCTTAATTCCGATGCAGTTACAATATAATGGATTTCATTTTCACCCCAAACCAGATGCTGTAGTGTATACGCATTAAATTCCTCTCCGTTTATAAGTCCACTACGAAAAAGCATTGGACAAGTTGTATTGTGAGTTCTTACAGGTGGAGAGAAACTGATGGGGACAACGGACCTACGCTGCTCAATAAAATTTTTTTTCCCACTCCATTCCATACACCGATCGAGAAGGGCATGGCATAAGGCGATTTCACTTCTCATAAGCTTCTTACGGCCAGCTCTTAAGGTAACACTTCACACGTTGGACTGGAAAGGATTTCAATATCAGTGGCGGACAACTAAATCACTGACGCTTCGAGGATGACATAATTCTCACTGCAAACTGCGCTTGCGAAATCAGCACGGTGCTGCAAAGATTCAACGCCCAAAATATAAAAGAACGGAGTTCAAAATCAACGCATAGATGAAAGGTGATATACAGTGTCAATACGTCCGCAATCCGGTGCAGAAAAATGTTGAATTGGAAAAAGTTAATATGGACGTCTATGTTGGCCAAGAAGTAAACACGCGTCAAAATTTCCAGCCGAAGATTGCACGTCGAATAGCTGCTACTTAATGCTAATTTCATGGTACCGCCGATTCCTTTAAAGTGCTAGAAAAGATGGGTCTTTCCATTCTTCAGTATGATGAAGGAAATGAAGTCAGAGCGCGAAACGTAATCAGTTATGAAAGGTGATCAGTGAAAGCCAGCTATGACGAATACAGTAGTGGGGCTAACGATGCCTGGAGTGTTTGTTCGTGTCCAATTAAGAGTAATCAGACTCTCCGTCAAATGGGCAACGTGCAACATTGCGAATATATGAACAACTTAAAACCGATGGGCAAGAATTATGCCGTTTGGCTTAGTGAAAAACAGATGACGCTGTGTACAGTTGGCTGGTACACGGCATCATCTGATTTTCAGCAAAGCCAGCCTGCTCATCAGATTTTTTATGCGTTTTTTGCAGCTATGCAACGCAGAATACGCATATTGACGAGGGGTTATCTGTTGCGTGTATGTGTCTGTGTGTCCGTGTGTGCGTCTGTCAGGGTTTTTCATCTCAAGACCTACAAAAGCTACAGGGCTGAAACTTTGGGAACTTAATCTACATGCAC